TACCATGCAAATGACGTTTGGTTCCAGGACATGACTCTTAATACAATTATATATATTTTAAGTATATATAATCATAATAATATCAGCCTATAAAATAATCATGGGTCCAATAACCCATACAACATACACCATACTAACCACTTGGAAGACTTTCCTTAATAAAGTTGACACTTTAGTTTTTCTCACATCCGTATGAGACAAGTAATCATCTTTCATTGAAAATATTCCAACAGTGAATGACGTAGATAGAGCTACCTTGGCAATATAATTGCATAACTTCAATATAGACACACACATCCACACACACTTATTTTAAAATATCAGGTCTAACCTTTTGCTAAATGTAGCCTTTGGTATCCCTGCAAAAAACTAATTACGGGGTACATTGTTTTCTTTTCTTTTCAGAAGCTACCTCATTTATCTAAAGACCCAACAAAAATTTCTCAAGCAATGATAAATGATGTTGAATTGGAGTGACTCTCATGACCTCTTTGAATCACTCCCTTAAATTCCTTTGTCTTCTTCATCTTCAACATATTGAACTCCCCTGTGGAACATGAACAAGAATGACATAAATCAAGCAAAACTTGCCTTTGAAAGCATCTGCTCATTTTTCGGCCATATATAACAACCATTCTAAGAGTAGCGACAATTCTCAATTAACATGCTTGTAACTATTTATCAATCTTTCAAACTTTCTAAGACCTCGTTTAATAAAAAATCTTAAGGCATTTGGAAATGAGCATTTTTGTTTATGCCTTCAATATATTTGGAAATTTTTGTGTCTTTAGTTTATCATCTTTATTTAGCATACCCTCTTATCTCGAAATGTGAAACCTCGTGTGTTTTGGGTAATTATCTTATGTTAACATACTTTTAGTGCACACCAGGGTATAATACCACATATGTTGATTAGTTTTCATTTTCCATGTGATATGCCGCGAGGAAGGAATGCCTTGTTATGTTCTTTGACATTTAATACGAACATGTTTTCTCAATCAACATGACTAGAGATAAGAAATTAAGATGTGAACTTGGAAACGAGCATTAAGTTTTCAATATTCTGTATCGCATTTTGAGACTCTCGATTGAGTGAGACTGCAAAAATTAAGGACAATTGAGAAGTATAGTGGAATGATGTGGTCGATAATTATAAGGTTATGAGGGTAAAAAGATATTTTAAGTAATTTTAATTATTAATATTTAATTAGTGGCTGCGGATAATAATTTAGGGGCTCCAAATAGAATTGCCAATAATCTTAATGTAAATGTGCCCATAGCTCATTATTTTAGAAGCAACACTTGAAATTTTGAAGTGTAGTTAGGAATTTAGGATCTACAATATGAATCAGAATCACAATTGTGTACTAGGATTTTTAGAATGACATAAATGTTTTGTTGATCCAAATAACTGGCATCGGCCTGGATAGAATACATTGACGGTCGGCCCAATACATTCTACTAGTCCATGTTATCGACGCAGAAGAAAATTGAAACTTTTTACAAATAATACTCCCTTCGTCCTAAATTGAGTTATAAAATTGACTTTCTTTTATCAAACAAATTCATTTTATTTACTTAATTAGTATATCAATTCTTAATTAAAATTTTAATTTGGATTTTGTAACTTTATAGAGATTTTAAGAAATAATTACATAAATATGACCAAAATAAAGATGATTTACAAAAATATGATTCATTACTAGAGTAGTAATGAAATCAAAGTAATTTATGTTCAAGTTTTGAACTTTAGTTATCACAGCACTACGTTGTAGTAATGAATAGTCATATTTATGTAAATAAGTTTTATTTTAGTAATATTCTCGTAAAAAAATCCCAGACTTTAATGTAGTTTCTGAATATGTAAATTTTAATTATTAAAATTGAACTAATAGTCAATAGGGATGATTTGACTTTAACATTGGTTAATAAAAAAATGTAAACCGTATGAGACAGATATAGTATCACCTTTTTCACTTTTCAAAGATTTTTTTTAAAGAATACCTTTGTGAAACCTATTGAAATTTGACTTTTCACAAATAAGCCACCTATTGAAACCTTTGTCCATTAAAAGTAGGTTACTTTTATCAAGTTCTCCCGTTTGTTGAGCTACTCCTTGCCAATGATATGCTCCACAAAAATGGACCTGATTGCAGATGCGACAGTACGACAGTGAGCTACACTGATATGCTCCCGTTTGTTGAGCTACTCCTTGCCAATGATATGATTTTTTCGTGGTGACAACCTCCCCTGATTGCAGATGCGACAGTGCCTCCTAGAGATGCTAGGATGAGGCTTGCAGATGGGAGGATGATGGAGATCGATTGCAATTGCAAGGATGGAGCAGATGGAGCTCGATCGACCCTAGATTCGAGGATGGAGCTCGATCGACCACATATTTTCAAGGATAGAGCGGATAGACTTTAGAGTTTAATTAGTCACGGCGATTATGGTCACTTCAGTATTATTTGATCACTTTTTGTCTACACAATTTATGCTCATAATTTTGTCTAATGAGATGTAATATTTGTGCCATTCTTTCTATTTCTATATATAAAGGGATGCCATAAAATTAAATGGTTGCCACCATAGGTTGGAGCTAGTGTGAAAACTTAGAAAACTTGATATAAATTTGCAGGGATTAATATAAAATTCAAAAGAATATATCACATCAGGTTTACAAATCACAATAAAATAGCATTACAAGTGATGCAAATGGCAAAGGACACAGAAAAAGCAAGGAAAGCTAGATGTGTTGTAACACTAAACAAGTAGGTCATGGAACGTCCCCCTTTTCTCAACCAAGTACCTCAGAATACGCCATGACCAGACAGCCATGCAATGTAATTCACTCCATTTTTCTCAACCAAGTACCTCAGAATACGCCATGATCAGACAGCCAGGCAATGTAATTCACTCCATTTCATCGCAACATCTACAGAGGCGCTAAAGCATTTGTTTCAACTTAAACCTAATATCTTGATTTAATAAGCATAGAAAGAGTGCAGACTCACTATAATCAATCAATAATTTATCATGTTTTGGTACCTAGGAGTGAATAAGTCTCATTTTGGGAATAAAACAAGGATAGCCCTAGTATGAACTCTATCATTGTTTTAGTCCTATTCAAGTAATTTTTTCTAAACAAACACACAACAGTAGGCCTCAGCGTGGATGGTAAGTTGTTTTTCCTTAACCTGCAATACAAAAAACATAACAAAAAACATAACAAGATTAACTAACAATGGCAGATAGAATCGTATTGAGTTTAAAGTGACAGATTAATGCTAAATAGGTAGTTCCTTAATATTATTTCTATGAGTCCTGGTACTGATCCACACCACCGTATTTGTTTTGAGCAATTTCAATCTAAGTAATGTTGTAATGCACTCCGTACTTGGTGATGTGAACCAATAAAAGGAGATTGCTACTTGCTAGTGATTTCACTAACACAGATAATTGGTAAATAAATTTTTTTTTTATTTGGTGAATAAAATATTGTTGATTAGTTTATTTGAATGTGTAATATACCTTTTCAAACACATCTTCAAGTTGAAGATTCACACTACGAGTCTGGTGTTCCTTAGCCCGCAATTCCTTCCACAACCACTGGACATTCAGGAAACATGGTTTGAGCTAGGCATAATTTCAAAGCCTACAGAAAAATGGATAACTGAACGGTAGAACTTCAATGAAACAGCATTCAACTTTTATTTCTTGATATTTAAAGCAAACAAACCGACATAGACTATAATAATGGTAACCATTAGTCTTATACTATCGTATTTAAATATCATTTCCCCTTCCAGCGACTCCATATCTATGTCATTGATGTTTGAGTCCATCTCCTACACAAATACAAGGAAAAATTCAATGAAGAAACTCTACCACCATGTCTCTATTCCATACGTGTGTGTGCTCGAGTTTCTAGGTGCAGTGAATAATGAAAACTACTGTATTTTTTACAAAACGATCATTCATACCAGTTGAAACAAACTGAGCATCTCAAAATCAGGAAAATTGTTGGCTAGTTGATACTCAATGGCAATCTAATAAATAAAACAAAGCACAGTCTTCTGCTTATTAATACTTCCGAATCATTAGAACACAATAAGGCCTCCAAAGCTTAACACAACTCAATACTAAAGTTGAAATGAAATGTTGGCAGAACGAATACGTTTCAATTAATAAAAGCCCTATACATTATCCTTGAATATACGGAGTATGTTGGCTAAGAAAACGGAAAATTGTGCAGGAGTTTAATTTTGAATGATCATTGCCGAAAAATATATACAGATATAGAGTCATAGAAGGGTTGGAAGAATAACCTAGGATTAAAGCTTCTTCAATTCATCGCTTCTGGCGACTATCAATCACCAATCTAATATCGCTCCCTCATCATCACAGATTCCGTTGATCTCATTCTAAACATCACGCTTTAACGCCTAGTCGATTATTAGATCTTCCCCGGCCGCGAAATTAGTCCGGTAGATGCGCGTCTCTCTGTATAAGATGTTCATATTTTGAAACTCAGAGAGTGGAATTCGCATACTAAACTGAAAGTCCTAAGCCTGCCAAAAGCCAAAGCTCCGATCTCAGGCGACCTCGCATCCTCGTCGCCGATGCAATAACTGGCATCTTTGTTATATCGTCGAACACTTCGAAACAGTGGAGGAAACAGATGGAGAGACGGAAATCATAGCCAGGTTTTGGTGGAAGCGGTGGTCGGGTGCCAAGCCGGGAGCGGCGGAATGATGGAGGAGAGGGGCGAAATCGCTGGTACCGGAAATTTCCAAAAGAAAAATTGACCACCCATGGACATATCCGATTCAGGATCAGATAAGATTAACCACCGCCTCCCACGTGGCACTCCCTGTTTTTTTCAAAGATTAAATTGGTTTAATATGGTCCTTTCGATTGAACTTCTGCCACACCATATCCTTTGATTTTATCTTCACATATATACTTGAAACAATGATCATTTCGTGAAGTAGAAATATCAGAAATGGCTTCTTCAGTCCTCTCCTCCACCGCAATCGCCGGCCGCGGCGCCAGCGCCGCCCAAGCCACCATGATCCCACCGTTCACCGGACTCAAGTCAACCGCCGCCTTTCCCATCACCAAGAAGTCCGCCGACATCACCTCCATCGCCACCAACGGTAGCAGAGTCCAATGCATGCAGGTATATGTACATCTACATACATAAGGAGTATATTTGAATCAAATGATTCAAATATATTATCAAAATAAAAATAAGGGTTTTTTACAACAATATTACTAAAATAAAACTTATTTACATAAATACGACTATTCATTACTACAACGTGGTGTTGTAGTAACTTAAGTTCGAAACTTGAACATGAATTACTATGCTTTCATTACTACTCTAATAACTAATCATATTTTTGTAAACCATCTTTATTTTGATTATATTAATGTAATTATTTCTAAAAATAATGTAAGAAAATGTGACTTTAGTAACTTTAGTAACTTTAGTGATTACATTCAAATCTTATAACTACTCCCTCCGTTCTTTAATATTAGTCCTCTTAGGCTTTGACACGTGTTTTAAGAGGAAAGTAATAGGGGTAGTGTAAAAGGTGTAATGAGTAGTGGGTAAATGAAAAAGTAGGAAAGAGAAAGAGGTAATGGTAATAAAAGTGGGGGTATAAAGGTATATTGATTGTAAAAAGTTTCCTTAAATGGAAAGGAGAACAAATAATAAAAAACAGCCCAAAATAGAATGAGGGACTAATAATAAAGAACGGAGGGAGTATAAAATTTATTTATAGTAACCTATAGTTTCATAATAACTTATAAAATACCAATTACATTATTATGATTAAAATTAAGACTCTTTACAAAAATGTTCAATTTTTAAACTTAAGCTACGGAGTACTATACATTAAATTGTAGTAACTATTAATCATATTTATGTAAATGAATTTTATTTTGGTAATATTTATGTAAAAAATCATAACTTATAGTCTCATTTTTGTGTATAGATATATATTAGTACAAACAAGATAATTTTTATTTGAATAAACATAACATAATTTTGTCAAACATGACCATTTTTTAACATAAACTACTTTGATTGTAGCTACCCATCAAATAAAATCACTTCTTAAAAAATAATACGGAGTAATAAAATGCAACACCGTACTGCCATGTGATGAGTACACCATAACATTTTGATCTTAGACCAAAGAACTCATCGTTTCAGTTTTCATTAGGGTTGTTTCACTCATATTTTAATCTTGTATATTGATTCTGAAATATATTTTTTGCAATAAATTGAAACTAATTGTAGTTTTAGCTTTCAAATATGTCAATTGTAATTATTAATATTAGCGTACTCCATATTATTATCATGAAAATAGTTCACTTTATCACTAACCTAATATCATTTGCCACAAAGATCTTGAAATGGAACAAGAGGGAGTAATTTAATTTAAAGTTCAAGCTATTTGGTCAATAAGTCCATTTGGTAATGACAACACATAATTACATGTAGTGCATCATAGTTACAAACTTACAAACCAAAGCCTCAAAATCTAAAATATAGTACCTCATCAAAAAACACTTTAATATGGGCCATAAAACCTTTGAGAATGATTCCCATTCTTTCTATAGTTAATTGTTAAAACAACTTACTTTAATAATTGTCAAAGTCTAGTCTGATCTGATTTGGTCTGATATCTTTGAATCGAGTCTGGTTTAGTCTGTTTAAGTATGGTCTAATTTGATATTACTTATGTGTTTAATTCTGGTTGAAAGCAACCCAACTTAATTAATTTGTGCTTAATTGCAATAGGTGTGGCCCCCAACTGGGAACAAGAAGTTCGAGACATTGTCATACCTCCCAGACTTGACTTACGACCAGTTGTATAAGCAAGTAGAGTACCTCATCAGGAATGAATGGATCCCCTGTCTGGAATTCGAGTTGGAGGTTAACAACATTTTTTCTCGATTCTATTTACTTCTCCATATATATCGTGCTTATACAAAATTGCTAAATTAATTAATCACTTAATTTAGTCTCCTAACATCAGTTATTTAAAAATCATGTTCTCCAATTACAAATGGTGCACTATGTTAAGAACATTTTCATCGGAGTTGTCACGCCTAGCCCGAAAAGCTCATTTAAGCGTCACCAGGTGCGGAGCCAGGGCACTGGGTCGCACTGGACCGGTACAAAGAATATTTTTGAAATTTTTTTATACATAATTTTTTACACTAAAAATACAAGCATTTTTAAAATTTGGGCTGAGCCAGGGTCAGGGATGACCCTCCCCTAGCTCCGCCCATGAGCGTCACATGAGCTTTTACCATGATTTAAAAACGTGACCACTTTTTTTAATTATAAAATACTTTGGAGAAATGCTCTCCTCAGGACTTCTTCACCACAACGGCCTTCTAGTCGTCACTATTTGAGAATATTTGAGGTCATTCTCAAGTGGAAATTTGATGATATTTTGTGACCATGAAATTTAAATTATGTACATAGGATTCTATCTTAAAATTTAATCAGGAGGTCGGGGAAATTCCCTAATTAGAAATAAAATATACGGAGTAATACATTTCCTCAAATAGAGTGTTATTGTTTCTTCTTAAAATATGATTCATTTACTAGAACTAGAAGGTTATGTTTTTTATTCTTTTAAGATAATTTTAATTTTATGGTATGGTTGGGCCGAAACCGGTCCTATGTACTGATATATTAGAACTTAATTCCAATTTACTCATGTTTTTTTAACAATTTCTTCATTTTTTTGTGATCTCAGATGTTAATTAATTAGAGTATATTTGTGTGATTGTTGCTAATGAGTTATTTAACCCACGAATGAAAAGCACAGAAAGCATTCGTGTACCGCGAAAGCCACCGGTCGCCGGGGTACTACGACGGGAGATACTGGACGCTGTGGAAGCTGCCGATGTTCGGGTGCACGGACGCGGCGCAGGTGCTGGCGGAGCTGGAGGAGTGCAAGAAGGCGTACCCCAACTCCTGGATCCGTCTCATCGGCTTCGACAACATCCGCCAAACCCAGTGCGTTTGTGTCATCGCCCACAAACCCCCCACGCCGCCGCCTTCTTAATTCGTTGATTCCGTTCATACATAAATGTGGTTGGCCGCCGGAATGTAATCCGGCCCGCCACCTATCACCGATCTCCTCTGTTTTCATTTCTTTCCCTGTATTTCACTTACTCCGTATACTCTTATCTCCCTATCTATGTACGCACATAATAATTAAAAAATTAAAACTGCCTCGTCTTGTATTTTATTCTATGATCTATGATGATAAGGGTGGACCCAAACAATTTAGATTGGACTAATTGCTAGATATAAAATGAAAAAAGGGAAAAGGGGCAAATAAGCCCTCGAACTAATCAAAAAAGTGCAAATAAGCCCTTTTGTAGGAGGTTCTGACTGATCATCGTCATTTGGGGAGGTTCTCGGTGGAATTTTTTGATGAATTTTTTTGAGCATCTTCTTCATCAAGGCTAGTTTAGCCATACCAAATTTCAGCTAAAAATTAAACCGAGAAGGCACTCAAATGATTTTCGAAAATATACTGTGTTGTTTAACTGCGCAGTTATCTTCAAAAATTCATTTGACTATCTTCCCGATTGAATTTTTAGCTGAAATTCGGTATGACTAAACTAGACTTAATGAATAAGATGCTCAAGAATTTTCATCAAGAAATTCCACCGGGAACCTCCCCAAATTACGATGGCCAGACGGAACCTCCTATAAAAGGGCTTATTTGCACTTTTTTTATTAGTTCGAGGGCTTATTTGCCCTTTTTCCCAATGAAAAAAATTACTCCGATAATACTTCTACTGAAGGCCAAACTTTCGGCCTACCTTATTACCTTTAATTTGCTGGTCTGGTCTGGCCTATTTAAGTCTAATCTGGTATGGTCTGTGGTCTGGTTTCAATTGGTCTGGTCCGATAAATGTCTGGTCTCTGTGTATTTTATAACTACAGAAATTAAGTTTGATTTGATTTATTTAAGTCTGGTTTGATCTGGTTTGGTCTGATCTGGTATGTTTAAGTGTGGTTAGATGACTTAGATCTGGTTTGGGACTTAAAATGTACATTCAAGTAAAAACATCTTTAGCTAACATAAATCTCCCATTAGTCCCATGTGCGGTTAGTCACGGACCCGGGCCGGGTCGGTTCCGGTTTTGGGCCTCCGGTCGGTCAATTTTTTTTTTTTTTGCTTTCCTAACCCCCCCCCCCTCACCCCCACCCCCCAAAACCCCCCCAAAACCCTCCTAACCATCAAGCCCAACCCGGGTAACCCCAAAAAATGAAAAAAAAAATGAAAAAAAATCAATTCGGCCCGGACCCGGGCCCGACCCGGCCGGGCCGGTTCGCCAAATACAAGGCCCGAGCCCGGACCCGCCCCCCCACCGGGCCTAGGCCCGACCCGGACCCGGACCCGAGAACCGGGCCGGTTCCGGGCCCGCACAGTAGCGGGCCGGGCCGGGCGGCCCGAAACGGGTCCATGACTATGTGCGGTGCATCCAGAAAAATGGACGAACTTACCATAGATACAATCTCACCCATGTTACGAACTAATTAGATTAAGAGAAAAAAATTATAAATAGTAAAATGTTCACTGGACAAAACATTATAATATCACGTTTAAACAAATTTCATTTGTTAGAAATAATTTTATCACATGGTGTTTGTAGTTTGTGCAAAATTGTGTTAATAAATGAATGAATCATCTAATGGGAGGATCAAGCATGAACTTAAAATTCATTTAAATTGAAAATTAAAAATCATATTATCAAGCAGTTTATATTATGTACAAAAATGTACTCACTTCATTTCGCTAAAATTGTTTCATCTCTCCTTTTCGTTGTCACACTAAGATTGTCTCATACCAATTTGATAAAATTTGTGTGGTTTTAAATCATTCTTACTTTATTTTTACTTTATCAATTCAATATCAACCACATAAACCCAGTTTTTTAATAGTTGCACCACCTTCTCATGTCTCAATGTTAGTGGAACGGAGATAGTAACTATTAAATTTTATAAAACATATGTGAAACTAAAATGATTTTTTTAATGTTACTAAAATAAAAATTATTTACAAAAATATGACTACTAGTTACTACAATGTAGTGTCATGGTAATTTAAGTTTAAAATTTTAATATAAGTTACTATGATTCCATTATTATTCTAATCATTAGTCACATTTTTGTAATTACATTGATGTAGTTCAGATTTTCCCAACCTGACAAAAATAAAAACAAATTATGTAAAGTCTAACGGTTAAATTCACATTTCCCCTTTACTGTTTTAAATTCACAATTTTATATTAAAAAAACGGGTTGATGTAGTTTAGATCTTTCCAACAAGACAAAAATTAAAAAATATATTTAAAGCCACTTTGAATTTGCTTTTAAAGGGCAAAAGTAAAGAAAAATCACAAAATACGAAGTTAGGTTTCGAACTTTTATGCACAAAAAACTTTGAATTATAATTTTTCAAAAATATTACTAAAATAAAATTTATTAAATAAATATGACTATTTGGTACTAGTTATAGTAACTTATGTTTAAAAATTGAATACTCCCTCCGTCCCTATATTAAAGGCATACTTTGACTGACACACACTCTAAGAATAAATATTGTATGTCACTATTTGCACACTATTTGACACTGTTTTGTACTGTTTTGCATTGTTTTGTACTGTTTTGCACTGTTTTCTTTGCGAAAAGGGGAAATGAGCCTTTTATATAGGGTCAAATAAAAAAGGAAACAATGTCTTTTATTTAGGGACGGAAGGAGTATAAGTTACTATGATTTCATTACTACTCTAGCCTCTAATCACATTTTTGTATACGATCTTCATTTTATTTATAAATATGTAATTATTTTTTATTAATACTTGAACACTTATACCTTCCTTTCCACTCTACCGCGGACACTTTTAATTACTACTATAATACTTGTAATTATTATATACCATATAAATATATGAATAATTTTAAATTGAATTGAATATATACACATATATGGTTGGGTGGGGTTGAGACTACTTGAGAGGGAAAAGTGCGTCCATCCCCTTGGATATGCCCTCCTAATGTGACCATGATTCTCCCATTGCACTTGCATGGATAAACACTTTGGGTGTGTACATGTCGTTTTTTACGCTATGTCAAGCAGACAATTTTTTTTAAAAAAAATGTTACTCCTATTTATTTTTAATGAATTGTACTCCGTAGTGTAGTAGGAGAAGTGAATTCGGAGTAGAAAATAATGAAGTGTACAAAAAGCTTTTTTCGAACAATGTCCACATCATGTGGTCAATGTACAATGACGTGCCTAGTGCCTACCTGTGTAATAATTAAGGCAGTATCCTGACGTAAAAGTACAATAGCATACTTCGTATAAGAAAAATGCTTCACATACTCGAAATATGTCCACAAAATGTGTACACATATTGTCTTTTACAGAAATTTTGTTTGTCATAGACAACTCAAAATGAGTTGTCTGAAATTTGACTGTCTTCTCAATTGAATTTTAGCTGAAATTTAGTATGGATAAACTAGACTTGATGAAGAACATACAAAAAATTTCAGCAAAAAATACCACCAAGAACCGCCCCAAAAGGCGGAGGCCGGACGGCGTTCCTATTAGGAAATTCCGGACAGGAACAACACTCTACAGATTATATATGTAAGTATTAAGAATCAAGATGAACACGTTAGGAATTTAAGAGGTCGTTTGGTAACACTGAAATCGGCTAAATTGGTTGTTTCTGTTGATATTTATGAAGTTCTGATTGAAGTGGTTGTATTGGTTGATTCTGCTTGTTTATGAAAAAAATAAATATAAAATATATTTTATTAATAAAAAAGAAAAAATTATATTAAAAAGAGTTAAAATGATTCTTTACAGTAACTCTAGCTAATGCAACCAGAAAAGTAAATCTAACCTTACTTTTTCTTATTACTCGTATTACACAATTCAGCACGTGATATAAAAAATAACGTATTAGGTGAAAGTTAGTTGATAAGCCTGATAAGCCGGAAATCAGGCTCACCAAACGGGCTCTAAATTAAACATTATATTAAAGTGTAAACACTACATTCATATTTCAACATACAAAATGAAATAAAAAGAAGTATCGTCTCCTTCCCAAATGAAACTCCTATTTTGACTGTACAATCAGATTAAAAAAATGAGAAATATGTGACCTAAAATTGTACATGCAAGGGAGAGAAAAAGTGAAAACAAATGTCGTGAATGCCTTCCCGGTTGAAGTTTTAGTTCAAATTTGATATGAGTAAACTAGACTTAATGAATAAGATTCTAAAAAAAATCATCAAAAAATTCCACCGGGAACTGCCCCAAATGGCGTCGGCCGGACAGAGCATTTTAAATATGGCCTTATTTGACATTTTTTTTCAAGTTCGAGGCCCTATCTGACCCTTATCCCAAAATAAAATGATTCATAACGATTACATCATTGGAGGAGAGCATTTCAGAGGTGATAATAATAGAGTTAATTTCTTAAATATGACTTAAACATTTGTATAGTGTACATATAAGATCATCATTTCCTTCCTAAATAAGGATCACCAATATTATAGTATGATTGATTTAGACAGAATAAGACTTAACAAATATTTATAAATGTTTTGAATTATTATTATTATTATTATTATTATTATGCATGTAATTTTATATAGAAAACGGTTCTACAATTTTTTGAAACATTAGACCCGTTTTAATTTTTCGCCCATAGGCATTCGAACATACAGGGCCGCCCCCGATAACAGTAAATATAGGTTCTACTTGGGGAATAAAACAACCTTATCCTATTTATGTATTTTGATTGAGCAATTTCGAAACAATTGACTAAGAGCCCGTTTGGAGAACTCTGTTTTCGGCTTATCAGGCTTATCAGCCAGCTTTTTCACCAAACACATAACTTTTACTTTCGCGCGCTGAATTGTGTAATAAGCCGAAAAAGTAAGGTTGGAGTTACTTTTCTGGCTGTATTGGCTGAAGTTACTGTAGAGGACCATTTTAGCTATTTTTACATATAACTTTTTCTTTAATTTATTAATAAAATATATTTTTAAAATATTTTTTTCTTAAATCAGCAGAATCGGCCAAAACAGCCACTCCAGCCAGAATATCATAAATTTCAGCAGAATCAGCCAAAACAGCCGATTTTGGTGCTACCAAACGGGCTCTAAAGCATGGAATGATGGAAGTTGACAATAAAACAATGAGGGATCATGCTAAACACGCCTGACCAACCAACTGATGAAGCGAGTAATGACGACGGAAGACGAG